AAAAAACAAAAGGTCAAAGACCATTATTCACATCGCATTAACATACCTAAAAACAAAATGAGAGATGTTACATGGACAAAGACCACCCAACAAATCCGTCCCCATAATCTTATCTTTGGAGAAAAAAATATCATTCCTTTTGTTTGCTTATTGAGAGTAATACACTAAAAAACTACTTATAGTGCGTTTCTTTGCCCATGGAATAATCTTTTACAGAATGGTTCATTATTAATAAAAGAGCTTTTTGTGTGCATTCAATCCCTCTAATCATATCAATCCCTTTTATTTGTTTAAATTAAATGATTAAGATTTGTATCAGGCAATCGCTATTCTGGATGAGGTTTTAAATAATAATTTTTTTATTATATCCAAATTGAATTAAATCAGATATAATCCTATTATTAACATAACTAGTACGTACCCCGTGCGATGCACGAGACAAAGATATTAAATGAGTTATTTTCAAAACATTGTCCGCTTAAGTCTAAAAAGTAATAATGTTATTATCTATTTTCTACCTCTTTTAATCAACGTTAAGTCTAAAAAATTATTAAGCCGCCCTCTGGCAAATATATATAGAGTTATGTGTTCGTGTCTCATAAATCACAAACATTATGAATAACATTACAAATTATTCATTCAAACTTTTATTCATTGCAAATATATTAAAATATTTTATATAACAGCCATTAAATACCACTTTCAATATATTTATAAATAAAAAGTACATAAAATTTCTGGTGTGTTCAAATTTAAATAATTTTTTATGGACTCAATTTTAAATCATCCAAACATTTAGTCAAATGCATAAGTTTGTTCAAATTTAAATCATTGGCATTTTGGTAGGTTGAAATTTAAATTATCTATCATGGTACTGTGATGTGTACTATATATATATACACAATTTTTTAACAAATAATATATGCTTTATAAAATAATAATAATAATTCGACAAGATTTTAAATGTAAAATTTGGTTTTTAATCACAATAGAAAAATCATGGTAAGTTTATTGAAAATGTGTTATTATATAAAACAATTAACTAAAATAATTAAATAAAATACTTGATGGAAATAGAATACATTAATTACCTTAGACTTTTCTTACTACTAATTCTAGTAAATAGAATGCCTATTTATATAAGTATAGATATCAAAGTGGTTGTAAGTTATATCATGTTTTAAATGTATTACTATATGAATATGAATTTGAATAAGTGTGTATCTAAATTTAACCCAAATCACGTTCACTAGTACCATTATTAGAGAACAGCGGGTTTGGAATCTGTCGGTTAAGTAATATTATTAGTAGCGTTAAGTGATGGCTTGCTTCAAATTACTTGTTGGTATCTGTAAGGAAATCTGCAGGCTGACAGCAAATTTTTGGTGGGGAAACAGTAGTGAAGGCAAGAATAAAATTCATTGGGCCTCCTGGAGTAAGCTTGCTAGGCCAAAGTCTTTGGGAGGTTTAGGTTTTAAAAATTTCTCTTTGTTTAATGAAGCCCTTCTTGTTAAACAACTGTGGAGAATTTTGTCCTGCCCAAATCTTCTCATGAGCAGAGTTATTAAAGGGAGATATTTTCATAATTCTAATCTGTGGGATGTGAGCTCTAAAAATTCTGACTCATGGATGTGGAAATCATGGCTGCAAGCCAGAAAATCTCTTAAATTGGGGATTAGATACAGGGTGGGAAATGGGCAATCTATAGATATTTGGTCAGCACCTTGGGTGCCCAACAGCTCTAATTTTACCCCAGTGTGTCAATTTCAGAGGGACAGAGAGAGACTTGTTAAAGTGTGTGATCTTATGCTTGTAGATGGGAGTGGATGGGACAGAGATCTTATTGAGCAAACTTTCCACCCAAATGATGCTAAATGTATTCTGAATATTCCTCTAAACTCAGAGAACCAGCATGATACTCTTATGTGGATTTGGCACAAAAAAGGAATGTTCTCTGTTAAATCTCTGTACAATTTGTTGGTTGAAAAGCTGGAGCAGGAACAACCAGGGACTAGCAGATTGGCTTCAGAAGTAAAGCAAATGTGGAAGAAGACCTGGGAGCTTAAAATCAAACCAAAAATAAAAAGCTTCATGTGGAGGTGTTGGCACAACTTTCTAGGGACATATGTAGCCTTGAAAAAGAAAGGGATGGCAATGGAGGTTACCTGCAGATGGTGTGGTGAAGAAGATGAAGATCAAGACCACATTCTTTTCTACTGTCCCAGAGCAAAACTAGTGTGGAAGTTGGCAGGGCTTTTATGGGAGGGTGTGAACAACAAGGATCAGAATTTTCAAGACTGGTGGTCTGGACTGTGTAAAATGAAGAACACCAAATGGAATAGGGATAGAGTCTCCTTATCTACCTATATCCTATGGTGGCTATGGAAGACGAGGAACAATTGGGTATTTCGAAACAAAGCTATCTCTGAAAAGGAAACAGTGGAAGGTGCAAAACTTGAGTGGTTAGAATTCAGTTCTAGTTGTTAAATTTCTGGTGATCTGGTTTTTATCCTGGTGGCGTTTTGGTTTCGGGTGGTTTCGGGTGGTTGGTGGTTTTTTCTCATGGAAGGTAGGTCAACCTTATTGTTTTGACAGTGCCTTATGGGTTTCTGGGTTGGTTTGTGGGAGTTGGTAGTTTTTGGTGTTTTGTGTTTTGCCTGGTGGTTTTGTTGTTTTTTCTTCTGGTTTGTTTTGGTCTTTTTGGGGTTATCATGATGTTTTGCTTTTGTTGCTGTTAGGGTGTGTATGGAGTGTGGTTATAGGGGGAGATTGTGATGTAACTCCCCCCCTAAGATTCTTTCCTGCTCAGCTGTGAGTATGGATGAATTGCAGTCTTTTGACTTGCAGGCTGTAAATATTTTGAGGTATCTATAAAATTCATGAAAAAAAAAAGTAATATTATTATGGGAAAGAAAAATATAATTATGAACACATTATTGACTATTCAAGCATTAATTAGTAACAAAGCACAAAATAATGGAAGGGAGGTGGGGACACCATGATAAGCGGGTCCCACTCGCATATATTCTAATACAAATTTTTTTACTAGAAGTGTTATATAATATGTATCGATCACTTATATAATATTGGTATAAATTATTTTGAATTTATTGGATAAATTGAGTTAATTTAAAAAAAAAAATAATAATTGAGTTTGGTTTGAGTAAGATTTTGAGTTTTATTTAAATAATATTTAAATTTTAATACAATTAGAGTTGATGTGATGTAAAAGTAAGAGAGAAATCGTTGAAAATGATGGGTATTTAAAATTATGTGAGTTAAAAATTTAATATGATTTGTGAGAATGATTTTGATAGTATATAGTTATATCTATAATATTGAGAAAAGTCAGATTAAATTATGTTTGAGTCAGATTTTAAGTTAAAAAATTATTAGGTCAAAGATATTTTCTATCCAATCAAAGTCCTAAAACATTGTATAGGGTATTTGATTATAAATTTTTGCAATTCATACTTAATCCATACTTAAAATGTACGAATTCAACTTTAATTTACATCACTATCCTCAATATTATTGTTATAATTAGATAACACTAAACAATCATTCTTACACATCACATCAATTTTAATTCATTATTTTATCAACTCAAATAATTTTAGTTAATCATCACTTCACATCATCTCTCCCCTGTTTTTACATCAAATCATTTTTAGATATTTTATTTTAAATATTATTGTAATACAAACTCAAAATTCCACTAAAAACTAATTATATCACTTTTTATTTAAAAAAATCAAATCTAATTAACTAAAAAAAACCAAAAAAACCGTTTTGAGTGATTATATAATATTTTGATTTTAAAATATTTATAGTTATTAAAAATATATTAATGATATTTAATTAATAATTCATTAGGGAGATGTTACAGTCTCATTAACTATACCATCGGGTTTTGTAACCGTTAAATCAAGTCCTAAAAATTATTAGGTCAAAGATATTTTCTATCCAATCAAGTCCTAAAACATTGTATAGGGTATTGATTATAACTTTTTGCAATTCATACTTAATCCATACTTAAAATGTAGGAATTCAACTTTAATTTACATCATTATCCTCAATATTATTGTTATAATTAGATAACACTAAACAATTATTCTTACACATCACATCAATTTTAATTCATTATTTTATCAACTCAAATAATTTTAGTTAATCATCACTTCACATAATCTCTCCCCTGTTTTTACATCAAATCATTTTTAGATATTTTATTTTAAATATTATTTTAATACAAACTCAAAATTACACTAAAAACTAATTATATCACTTTTCATATAAAAAAATCAAATCTAATTAACTAAAAAAAACCAAAAAAATCGTTTTGAGTGATTATATAATATTTTGATTTTAAAATATTTATAGTTATTAAAAATATATTAATGATATTTAATTAATACTACCTCCTATTTTTAATATATGTCGTTTTGAGAAATTGCACACTAATTAAGAATAATTTTTTTGTCAATAATAACCTTATTTAATGAAGATAGAAATGAATGTTTTGAGAAAAAGTGAAGAGTAAATATGAAAAGACGTAATGTATTTATTGTCTAAATGAGGGTAATAATGGAAAAATATGTACAAAATATCCAAAACGACATTTATTTGGCAAATAGTTGAAAATACTAGAATGACATTTAAAAAAAATAGGAGGGAGTATTTCATTAGGGAGATGTTACAGTCTCGTTACGGAACTATACCATCCGGTTTTCTAACCATTAAATCATCATGTAATCGCCGAAAATAGTTGATTTAACGGTTATAAACTCCGACGAAATGTATATCTCTCATACGCACATAAACTCGCCCACGTGCAGTGCTCCATCACTTCTTGCTGGCTCTCTCTCATTTCCAGTTAAGACTTGCCAAAAAGGTTTCTAAAATGTCGCATTCAATTCAATTAGCCTGAGAATTTGCAATTTCTCCACACTACACGCAGCTTCAGCAAACACCATTCTCTCTCCCGCGCTGATTTGAGTATGGATTCGAAAACCCTTCTCGATTACGCACTGTTTCAACTCACCCCAACAAGAACAAGGTACCCGTCTCTCTCTCTCTCTCTCTCTCTCTCT